TGACTGACATAAGCTTTTAATAATAGCACCTCCAAAAAAAAAAAAAAAGAAAACTACAAGTGTATCCTCATATCTGCTCAAGAACCATTGTGTCTGTGGGCCATATAGGTACAGTAGAGGCACTGGAAGCAAGGAGGAGCTAGATCTGGGGGCCAGGGAGTGGTGAAACATCTTCTAAGTCAGGGAGACAGCCTGACACGGTTCCTTTACTACTCCAATATGTTTGTGAGTTATTTTTGTAAAGGGGAACTGGTCAGTGCCAGGTTTCCTGTTCCTCAGAAAAGGCAAAGCCATATGCTGCTCACCCTTGGGTTCATTAGAACAGATGCCTGGGTCTATTCCAAAATCACTACAATGCTTGGGAAAAAAAAATTTTTTTTGACCTACAGAGAACCTTCAGAGGCTCCCTCAGCGCCCCACCCCCACTGCAATGCCCGGCCCTGCAGAACTTGAAGGGCCCTTTAACAAACCACCTTCTACTCATGGAAGTGCTCTGCAAAGCAGCTGCTCATCTTACCGTGAATGGTGTTTATAAAAGATTTCTCCCAGGCATACATTTTAATCAGCTTGATGCAGGTCAGAAACTCATTCATTGTCTGAACTCGCTTGTCTGTCACTGAAATTGCTGATCTTCGGAAAGCTGAATTGAGTTTGGCCATAAACATCTGAAATCGAGGTACAAGGGACTGTGTTCAGGGAGAAGTGCTGAACTGCAGTTGGCCTAAAAATTCAGGGATCAGAACCTAAGTGCCAAGCAAAGTTCTAAGGGGACTTGGCTGAGATGGCAGCTGGCTTGGCCCCGAGGAATCTGTCAGGTGATACAATGAAGTGCCAAGACTCAGGGTAGGGAGAGTAGGAACTTCAGCAGCCTGTACAAGCATCCCTCCTCCCTCCCCACCCTACCCACCACTCGCAGCACTCAAATTCAAGTCCTTAGAAAATGACACTGGGTCAGCTGAAGACAGAGCACTTGGGTTCATAGAGAGAGGTACAAGCTTCAAGTGCATGCCCTAGGAATGGAGGCCTCCACTCAGCTCAGCAAAAGCGGGTATGGCGATGGCGAATGTCAGGCGCTTTGGGTTGCACATGCCCTGACTTACCTGGATTGGGATGAATATGATATACACACATATCCCGACAAGAGCCGTGGACCCCAGAATGAAAAAGGCGTACACTGCACAAACGACCATTAGGATCGGGATGGTGGCTGGCAAGGGACAAAACAAGGCAGCCTCAAACAAGGAATAACTATCACTTGATAGGATATTGAGTACCTAGAAAGAAAGCACATAGGTTCAGGCTTGGGACCATTCTCAGAAGCTTTCTGATTGGCAGGAGGTGGGGCACACGAAGGGACCAACGTGATGAGTTTTGTGGTCTTGCTCTGGCTTGACGTTGGAGGGCTAGTTTCTTAGAATTGATGATCCCAAAGACCGGAGCTGCGAAGATATGCAGTGGTTTTTCATAGTATGCTGTGAGCCTGTTTGCGTCCTTATTAAAACAGTTCTGCTTTACTCAAGGCAGCAAAAACCCAACTAGAAGACTACTCTGGTGGGCATGGTACATGCATGTGATCCCAACATCTGGGAGGCTGCGGCAAAAGGATCCTGTGTTCTAGGCTAGCTTGGGCTTCACAGTGAGACCCTGTCCCCAGATCATCAGAGAAGGAAAGGGAGTGAGCTAATGGAAGAGGTGAGGAGGGGACAGAAGAGGAGGAGGAGGAAAAGGAGGAGGAGGAAGAAGAGGAGGAGGAAGAGAGGGGAGCTCTCTGCCTCTTTTATACAAAGAGTGTGGCCAAGTGGCTGTGGGACTGAAAGTGACATGTTAGCCAAAGTACAGAACGAGATCTGGGAAAGAATGTTTAAAGAGAGCTGAGTGCAACCCTAGGAAGACATGTTATTCTTGGTTTTCTCCCCTTCCTACTGACTTTCTCCAAAGAGTAGGGCAGTGGATCTCTTGCAACCCTCCTGAGTCATTAGGAGAGACATCTTCTACAGAAATGATGAAGGAAGGGAAGGCTCTCAAAGCCGCCCTTTCAAAAGCCCTGAATTCTGAATTGTAGTCTTCCAAAGTCCTTTGCTACTTTTTTGTTTAAAGAGAACAGAGTCCTATGTATCCCAGGCTGACCTCACATTGGCAGCCAAGGATGACCTTGGATTTCTGATCCTTCTGTGTCTACACTCTAACTGCTGGACTTAGGCATGAGCCACCACACCTGTTTCATGTGGTGCTGTGGATGGAACCCAGGGCTCTGTACGTGCCAGGCAAACACTAACTGGGCTCTGTCCCCAGCCCTTGCTTCATTCCAAGCAGAATCTACTCATAATTGATGTAAGATGGTTTGCATACAGTTGAGGGAGCAACTGGGAAAGAGAAGCAAGTCCTTTCAGCATATGCAACGTGGGGCTTCCTTGACTAAGGAGGGTTTTTTGTTTTAATAAGCGGCAAGGATTTTATTGCTAAAGATTAAGGGCTTAAGAAAATGTCAGCCTGAAGTTCAATGCACATGGTTGCAGTCTAGTGCAACAACTGGGATTGCTTTCCAGAAGGGAACAAGTTCTCACTACATAGCCCAGGCTAGCCTTAATTTTTCCAGAGCTTCTTCCTCCATCTCCTGAGTAACGAGATTACACCTTTTCCATCAGTTTTACCAAATACCTATGGTGTACCCTATGTTGTTTTATTGTCCTCGCTGGTAATCAAAGGGGTCGAATGATGCCACCCTGGATCCCCTGTGCCAGCTTTTCAAATTCCGCAGCTTAGATGTGAACCCTCCTCTGCCTGATCTTCCTCTCTTTTGAGTCTCCATCACCTCATTTAGCAGGGGACTGATGTGATGGGCAGGATATGAACAGCGAAAACGAAGGTGGCACTCCATCCAGGAAGCAGGGCCCACACACTCGCAGAAACGGGACCAACTTTTCAAGTGTACATTCCCTCCAGACCCGCTTACCTCGCCTGCGGAGATGTGACTCAGTGTCTTGAAGGACAGCAGGTTTTCGAAAACCAGCGTGGAGAGGGCCACCTTCAATCGGATCGCAGTGCGGTAATTTATGGCCCAGGCAAGGGCCCAAAAGAGGACTTTGGTAAACTCGGTGACAAAAAGGGCCAGACACAAGCTGATGCCGATCCAGATGTGTCCAGAGGAGACGCTGGTGATGTGCTGCAGGATTTGGTGAATGAGAACTGTCTGAAAAAGAGTGTGATGGGGAGAAGGCCGCTTGGTGGCGCTCCACACAGGGTGCCTTGAACGACTTTGCAGGCAGCCTTTGTTCATTCATTTCAGCGGCGGTGGCTGCGCTTGACAAGGGTTGGCTTTATGGAAATTCACCCCCAGGGAACACAGAGATAAAGACGATGCAGTAAAGCCACCAGCTTGTAGAGAACGTGACTAACAACGTCATTTGCCCAGCTGGGCACCTAGGAGACAATTCGGAAGTGCCAGCCCTCCTTACCGGCCCTAGGGCTGCCATGACAATGCACAAGATGTTGGCTACGATATCCATCAGAACACGGGTCCTCTGGAATTTCCAGACCACGCGGCCCAGGGAGGCCCGCTCCGGCCCCACCCTTTCGATTTCTTCATCCCAAAGGATCTGAAATCTGCAATGAAAGAAAGGCAAGGGGCAAAGGACAGGCAGTCCACATCACCTATCATCTGGAACTGTTTTGGTGGCCAAACTACTGCAAAGGTGCATGGCACAGCCCTCCTCACAGTAATTGGTGCCTTCAGGCAAGCAGCCCTCATCCTCTTTCGTCTTCCCGGGGGGAGGGTAAATTGTCGAGGGTAAGAAGGTGATGCCCAGCAGAGCTGTTGATAATATCTGCACTAGGCACCACCCAAGTTCTTGCCTCCTTGGCCTCTGGCTACAATATCCATAATCATAAGAAGATGGGACAATAGAGAGTAAAAGTCCTCCTTGGGGGAAAAACTGCCATTTTAGCAAGACAGGGTGGTACGTGCCTGGAATCCAAGTCCTCTGGAGGATTAGGCAGGAGAATTTCAAGTTTTAAACCAGATATAGCTATATAGCAAGACTTTGTCTCAAGGAAATAAAAGAGGTTGTCCATTTCAAAGATTTGAAAGGAGTCCAGCGTAACAGGGCCATGGCACATGAAGCAAAGGCTGCCAGGAAGTAAGGCAGAGCAGATTCTCATGCGACTTCAAGGACCTCAGCTTCGAAGGTTCTAAGTGCAAGGGAAACACCTGCAGATGTGATGGAAGAATTTGCATATCTGAAAGCTTGTTTGGTGGCTGTGAGCGTGATTGGCTGTGGGTAGTCAAGGCAAAAGCAAAGGATTGAACAGGACATAAGGGGCACCAGGCCAGAGGCACACAGCTGACAAGCCAATAGGAGATTCAAGGACAGGTGGCCAGGGGGTGAAAGCAGGACTTGTTGGTGGATTAGATGTGGGAGAAAAGGAGAATGGGGACCAAGACTGGAGCCCAGTTTTCCAGTCTTAGCAACTGTGAGAATAGAGTTAAGAGAGGCCTAGGAAAGAGGAAGAGAGAATCATGAGGTTCGGGCTGAGGGTCAAGAATGCAACTTTAAGCTCTTGCTTCACTATGGGTGAAAAACATACAGGCAAAGAGAAAGAAAGAAAGAAAGAAAGAAAGAAAGAAAGAAAGAAAGAAAGA